CTAACCAAGTCTTCACCCTAAAATTAATGATTCCCCTCATGGGGACCTCCAATTTGTCCCCATAAGGGCGTCGAGTCCCCACACGTGACTGTGTAAACAGATTTAGGTCCCCACAAGTATAGTAATGCTAGGCCACGCACACACACACACACACACACACACACACACANAGGGGGAACTCATCAACCTTAGCCTTTTTCCTGCCCAAGTCGAAGATCCTGATCTTGGGATCTACAAACAGAAAATAACCATTAGTAAAAAAAAAAAGGCTTGAAATGATCCAATCAGACTTTTGACCATAAATCGGATTGATTATTTTGTCTCAGTGGTCCCTTAAAGCACTCAGCACCTCCCAGCTGAGTTCATACACAAACCAAAGATTCAATGTGTGCAGCCTTTGCACACCAGAAACGCACTGACAGCACAACTGGTCGGCTTAATAAGCTGCAGGGATTTCTAAAACAGAATTTTGGCAACAAGCAGTCACTTTAAACTCTGAAAGAATTAAAAAGCTTACCAGGCACACCCCTGCAGAAGCGGGACTTGGGGTAAGGCTTGTTCTTGCAGTAGCGATAGCTGTGGAGACAGAGTTCATTTGAGCCATTTACCTACAAAAGTCTGTTTGTTTTTGCAATACTAATTCATGGTTAAGGTTATTACATAACGTGTCATTTGGCAGATACAACAAAAGCAACTTCCATAAATTAGACATGCCCACAAGAGCCAATTGGGGTTATTTATCCTGCCCAAGGATGCCTCAACATTTTGACTTCCGGGCCTGAAACACTGACTAAAATGATTGGCAGATGCCCATTTACCCCATACACATTTCTAATAAAATGTGTTTAAGCCAACATTGTCACCAACACCATAGATGCCTGATACAGCTTTAAAGAACTGTAATTGCATTTTGAGTCACTCCCAAACAGCAAGGCCATCATTTTTTACTTTTTAATTATAAGGATTGTATTATAGGTTTTTATAATGTGTTGGGTACTACTTTCAGCGATTGAATATACAATGTGTCCTACTAAGTATTTGTTGCTGGTCTATTCCTATTAAGGAGTATAATGTCACCCAAGCAAACATTCCTTCATTTAAAAAAGGTAGTTTCGGCAACAATGGAGTCCTATGAAACAGTAATACATATAAAGTTTGTATTGGCTGTAATAATTATAAGCCATTATAAGGACAATTACTGACAATAGAACAACGACAGCCGTATGCTTGAATAACACAGCATAGTCGTTGTTGACGAGATGCTAAGGGACCATCAGGTCAACATTATTATGGTCCAGTTTTTGCATGGAACAGCACCAAATGTCACATAACCTTTCTGATGTTAAGATAAGTAGTCAGACGTATAACTGATACACTTGACACTGATATATTGCTATAATTACTTCATTGAAACTTAAACCGGTAATGTTACAGTGGTGTGCTTAAGATGAAACTGTGTCGTGCATTAATAAAACGTTAAAATTCGGCTATATTTGGTATTGATGTGCTCGCGCTAGCTTCATGCTAATTGACGTTAGCTCACGTAGCTCTCAACAAGTTAGCTTTAGAGCATTGTAATAGTGAAGGTGCATTTAACAAGGTGGGTTAAGACAGGAATTGAATGTCTACCCATGTCGTGTAGCAGAGACATGTTTTCAGATAATATAATAAGAAAAGTGGAGGTGTGTCGACACGGCTAGTCGGTATGCTAGCACAGTGCACATGGTGCTAACGGAGCCGCTGCCATTTTCCTCCGAGTGAGACTAAACCGGCCCGGCAAAGAAAATATGTAAGAGAGGACTTACCAGCGGGCTGGACGGCGGCCCATGGTTGCAATCTATAAATCAACAAATAAGAATTTGTTTTTAGTAAAAACGAGACCAGTACATATTTAAAATAACTTTAAATCAGTCTATTTGAGGGAGAGCCGGAGAAACCACGCTCCCACCACGTACTCACCTAATGGAGGAAAGGAAGACAAGCCGACTTCCGCTGCGTAATAAGAGCAATGCCTGTGCGAAAATATAATTTATATTCACTTACACATTATTTTTGCTGTAGAATTAAATCACACGGATATAAAAGCATTACTATAATGAATATATTTAAATATAGTGTTGTAAAAATAATTGAACCTTCAGTTATGTAGTTTAAACTGAATGCTGGGAATTGTAGTTTTAAGCAACATGGACCGACTGTTTGATTCCTTGCAACACAATGATACAAATAGTGTAAACAGTTTCCCCTTAAACATAGGCCTATATGCATAGGTGAATAAGGGCCAATATAAAAGCAAATAATGAGATAAACATAAATAAAAATGGCCTTTTAAATAGAAATAACATGCTGCAAATAATGGTGCGAGTGACACATAGTGCAAGTAAAATGCATTACATGTGCTGTAAATGAAGCAAACAATATTGCATTATAATAGAAAAAGAAATAGAATAAAGTATCTCAAAAAAAAACTGTTGCCTCCCCATCCAGGGAAGGAGATCCACATCCAAATGTTTCAGATCCTGAGACTCCTGATGCTCCTGATGCACTCCACAAAATGGCCTTCAGGTGTCACTATTGTATTATATATGCATAAAGTCCCTGCTTCTCTGTGCCCTACTTGCTAATTCTTAAAAAAGGAGCAATGAGCTCATATATGAACTCCTAGCTCATAATGCAGAACAAATGTTGTTCTCTAGCTCGGGAATTTGAGGAATCCTAACCTTGTTCAGACGTCTGCTCTAACGTCACTGAACATAACACAGTTTATTAAACATCCTGAGGGATTTGTGAGAGTTATATATGCCTGATAAGTCCTATTTGAAGCACTCACATCTCTTTGATTTTAGTTTGCTTAAGAAGCTGCTGTTTAAGCTCTAAAAATGTTTTGTGAATTCAAAGTCAGTTATCTGGGAATTGACCTACCCCAATAAACACACATGGAGTCTACAAATGATGAAATAACATCCTTTTGCAAACACAGCCACTTGACCCCTGCTCTGATTAAGAAGTGGCCACTCCTTGGTGTGTCAGTGAGGAAGGCCTTTTAACTCAGACTGGATCCCTTCACAGCCTCATGTGAAGGTCATCTATCAGCTCGGCAACAACAACCTACCGTCCCGTCCTTCCGTTTCTGAATCTCCTCCAGACTTTGCTGTGTCTGAGCTCAACCTCGCTGAAGGGCAAGATGACAGTGAGACCATGGAAAGGGAGCAAGGACCAAAAATGGTCCTAGAGTGTGTGCCTGTTTCTGGTGACCAATGACACACACACACACACACACACACACACACACACACACACACACACACACACACACACACACACACACACACACACACACACACACACACACACACTAGTTTTCCAGACAAGAGCTAAGAATAGGGCTCAATCTCCCAACTAAACCCAGGACTGCACTTGTAAAGGAGTCATTTTTCTTTACTTACAAAGATGAACTGATTAGCTAGTTGATTTGGAAGATTACATGTTTACTTCACATCTGGGAAGTACTTTATCCACTTTCTTGCCGAAAGATAAGTGTAATGATCCATACATCTGTCATGTTTGTAAGCTGAATATGAAGCTAGATTGCAGGAAACTACTATCTTAGTTTAGCATCAAGCAGGGATGTGGACTTGAATCGACTCGAGTCAATGTTTCAATGACTTGCAAATCGACTTGACATACAATAAAAATGATTGGGACTTGGACCTGGAGGTGAAAGACTGACTTGAATTAATTTAAACATGAAGACTAGAATCACTTGTTTAAGTTAAATTTATATCTTCAACATTTTCAACATTTTCAATTGACAATTCAAGTTGTTACAGTACACAATATGCAGGTGCACACTGGGAATGGCCTTGCGCTGATTGTATTTATGTCACAAATCAACCCAATCACATAAATAAAACGTTGGCATTGTAACATTAAATTGACTATCAAGCTTTAAGTTAAGTTTCAGTGTAGATCACTTTTCAAAACTATTATTAAAATAATGTTCTAGGTTTAGCACAACAAACTTGGTTATGGTTAGGAAAACTTTCCTTTTGTCTTTAAGGTCTGAGTTGACCTGTGACAGGACTGGGCATTTCTAAGGACTCAACTGGACATGAAGACACCAAAAAACAATAACTTGGCTCTTTACTTGAAACTTGGAGCGATTGACTTGAGTCACATGTCTGGCATCAAGACTTGAAACTAATAGCAAGCCTATTTCAGTCTCTGACCAATGTTCATACCAAACCTCTTAGACTTGCTAATTTGTACAACTATTTTTGGTTGCAACTGGGTTATGGGTTGGATTGATACTTGCTGGGCACAATGACTTTTGGAAGTTTCTCAAGGAACTCCAGATCATGTGATGTTAATTAGTAGGTGAGGTGTTTGTAGCCATATTTGACAGCTTTAGGCAGAGCCATCCAGCGCGCTTATGCTACGCTAACATAACCATCTCATAGATTAGGTTTAAGATTTAGTACAGAAATGTTTTTTTTTAGCAAGAATGCGATTAGACTGTTTTCAATTATGTCCTAAAACCCGGAAGTGAGTTAGCATTTTACCACTTCCTGTTCCCTCGTCTCAGAGTCAATGGTTTTTTTTAACTAGTTTTTGGGAAAATAGCTGGAAATAAGGTCTGTGGTCCACTGGTGATTTTTGAAGAGTTTATGTGTCTGAAAAACGATGGTTGTTAACAAGTGGCTGAATAGGACTACAGAAGTCGTGGAGGACGCTGTACGTCATTACTACGAACACGTAAAAACTCCTCTAAGTTTGTTTGCCCTGTTCTGCTTGAAAGCAAGTACCTGCGCTCTTGCAAACTGTTAAAACAAACGCTTCAACTCGTACAATTTTGAATCTGTATTTTTAAATATCGACCTCAAGTTGGCATGACGTTGAAGTCGTGCGACCCTGCTGTACTCGGCTGTAGTTTGTTTACAGCATAACGTTAGCATTTTGCTTCTGGCGAAAATTATAAAAGCAGAGTAGACACAGCCCTGGCCCTGGCCAACTTGTGGCCCCACGCAAAGTTATGTAACAAGGCCCTCTGTTTCACGAGTGTAAGAGCATGATGACTATTCAGATGAACATGTGAGTAACATCAGATCCAGAACATTTACTATGTGGAAGCTTGAAAGCACACTTCAGGATGTCAATGACACTGAAGATTAAGAATATGACTGTTTTATTTTTGTTTTATCTGTGTTGCTCTTTTGACAACCTAAATGTAGAATATATTCTTAACACTGAATTGCTCATACTGACAACCACACCCTCACACAAACACACACGAAGCCTGATCGCTGACCAGTGTGTGATGAGGGTGTGGAGGCTAACACCCTGTGTTACTCTGAAAACGGAAGTGTGGATCTTGTCTGTGTGTGTGTGTGTGTGTGTGTGTGTGTGTGTGTGTGTGTGTGTGTGTGTGTGTGTGTCTGGTGGGACACAACACTAGCCATATGGGGATCGTTGGAAAACTCCANTCCCTTAAAGCACTCAGCACCTCCCAGCTGAGTTCATACACAAACCAAAGAGTTGTGCTGTCAGTGCGTTTCCGGTGTGCAAAGGCTGCAGACAGTGACTCTTTGGTTTGTGTATGAACTCAGCTGGGAGGTGCTGAGTGCTTTAAGGGACCACTGAGACAAAACATAATTTTTCTTAAAGGCCGTACTCATTTTCATGTGGTTAACCATTGTAAGTCTGAATTGACGGTGTTGTTGCCCTTTCCTTCAGATCCATATGTCCAAGAAGTACGGCTTCACCAAGTTCAATGCCTGTGACTTCGATCAGATGATGGCCGAGAAGCGTGTGATTTCAGACGGCTGTGGGGTGAAGTACATTCCCAACAACGGCCCCCTGACCCGCTGGAAGAAACTGCACGCCATCTAAAGCATCACCAGACTACCAATAAAACTGGGTTTGATTAAAAAAAGATGTCTTGGCCATGGCTCTGATTTATTTCTCAGGAATCTTACATTACATATTGTTTTGTGGGTAAGGTAATGTTTACAATTGATAGTAATATGACTTTGCCTCAAAGGGATTTACAATCTGCACCTCTTATTTTTATTTTCTTCATGGTGTTAGAGTACCGTTCAGTGGTCATACTAAAGCAAAGCAAAACTCTCAACATGAAGATCTGATGAATTGAAGTCTTTAGTATTGCATATGTAATACTGAAATGTGAGCATTTTGAACTGGAGGTATTTATCTCAAAGGTCTGAGGAGTCTAATGAAAAATGTAAAGAACAAACCCTTTATAGAAATCATATTCCGGACAAAATCCATACCCCGTTATATATTTACAAAGAACTATATAAAAAAATCAACAAATGCTAAGTCTCTTAAAGATTAAAATAATTATTTAATCTTTAACATGTTTGTTATCGGTGGTTTATTCGTTTTCCAAGTGATCACTACTGGATAATATAGTTTCAAACCCTAAAAATGCCTATGGAGAAAAAAACATGGAAAGTAGTGAAGGGTAATCTATCAGTTTTTAAGAAGACTACCACGGTGCTAAGAGAATACGTCAGCATTATACAGTGGGCGAAGTATGATTGAATACAATATTTGAATGAATAAAACATTGCAATATATATACTAAGGCCCACATCTACTCTGCACATTATGATGTAAACATTTTGAATACATAAAATAAAGCTTTACAAACTTAACCCAAATCAGTTAACACAGATGTTGACATCACCATTTTACAGTGGAGAAATGTTTCTAGTTGGCCTAATCGCTCTAACGTTTTTGAAAGTTAAAAAAATAAGCACTTTTTGGCATGAGTTGGAAAATGCTTTATAAGCACCTTAACCTGTGTTGGAAATGTTGCAATAAGTACTGTATTCTGTTACGATGACTAATTGCCATTAAAGTTATGTTATTGGTA